TATTTTTAGTTGTCTGATTAATTTCTATTTTTAATAGAGGCAGGGTCTTGCTCTTGCTCGGGCTGGTCTTGAACTTCTGAGCTCAAACAATCCGCCCGCCTCAGCCTCCCAGAGTGCTAGGATTACAGGCGTGAGCCACCACGCCCGGCCTGGATCAGTTTTTTAAAAAACACATTCCTAACCCCCAAAAACAAAAACCACCACCACAGAAAATAAAAATCATGGCTCTAAAGCAGTGGGCCCTGTAACAGTGGTTCCCATGCCTAGCAAATCATCAGAGTCACCTGGTGACCCTTTTCAAATCTAGAGAGAATATCCTGGGATTCCCCCTGCACTTAAGGTCTAAATGTTACAGCAATGGCAAATTGAAGAAAAAAAGCTTACTCTGCATTTCTGTACTCTTTTCATGACTGGTAACAGTTTGCAGATGGGCCCAGATCCACAGGCCACACTTTGAGTAGCACTACTAGTGGTGCTGGTGACCTGCCAGGGTTGGGAACTACTCCTCTTTAGAATGTAAATGCAATCTTGTTCCCACTTTCTAGACCAGGCTCACAAAATTTTACAAACATTTTAAAGGCATTAATTGATTCCAGAAGCTATGCTTGGACTCAAGCCCATGAATTAAGAGCTTGCTACCCAATAGCCTGTGTTATTGTTGAATTATCACATGTGTTCAGGAAAGGGCACAAATTATAAATTGTAGAACCTGATGAGTTATTTCTCTAGACTCTATTGATTTAAGGTTTCGTAATACAGATAGACATGATATGGTATAATACAGATATAGGGAAGTTAGGTAATATGCAATTGCAGGGTTGAGTTGATCTGTGCTGCAAAGTTACTTATCCTGATAAGCAAGTTTAGATTACAGAAATAGCATCAAATGTTTTGGGGGACATGGCAGGGAGAGAAGGATGACTCCGAGTGCTGAGTCTGCACTGGGTGCAGATGGGGTGACTGTGATGATTTCCTGCGACCTATGAGGAGTCATGATATTAAATTTGAAACTGTCCTAAAAAAACAAAACAAAAACTGACCACTGTATGACCCAGGACCATGGCTAGATGGATTCATTTGAGAACCCATAAAGAGCTCAGTGAAGATCGGGAAAATGAATGAACTCACTAGAAAGTAAGCATGTGATAGAACCAAGAGACTGAATGTTTTGCACATTTACACTGAGCTGTGGCAAAGAGATGCATCTAAGGAGAAACAAAACAGTAAGAAATGTAATGCCTGCAGTTAAATGCCTAGGCTCAGTGGTCCTCAATAAAAGAGGGTGGTTTGGGTCCAAAAACGTCATCAGGTGCTTGGTATATCCTAGTTAGGAGACAGGCTTCAGTGGGACCTAGTATAAGGAACAGAGAACTGTGTGCCATCGGAGTAGTCCAAACACATTACCATAGAGTTCCGAGGAACAAAAGGTCTGCAGAGCATTTATGGAGGGGGACGCCTTGCTGAATGAGTAAAATTTGGACATTTGGAAAATAGGAGCAGCTAGAGAGCATTCCTAGAGAGACGTTGATTTGAACAACCATACAGGGCTGAGCGTTTAGGGAATGATGACTGGCTCAGCATCCATCCATCCACACATATACACTTAAGTGGTTCCATCTTGTGGAGCGGACTTGAAGTATGTCGTAGCTGAGCACGGCTATACTGAGGGGTGTGCAGAAGGGCACTGTGGACGTGTAGGAGTTTGGTCTATTTGATGGGCAGTGGAGGACTGCCGAGCGTTGGCTGGAGTTTGTGAAGATTGAGCAAGTGAAAGAGGGCTTGAAGTTGAGCCAAGCTGGAGATGGGCTGAGGTTTGGTGAGCATTAAGTAGGATCGTGATAGTGGGAATGAAAAGAAAGGCCTCGATAGAAAGATTGTAGGGCAACAGACAGAATCAACCATCAGGGCATTGATTAGGCCGTGGACAAGTCAAAAGTAATCTTAAAGTAGGGCAAGTATGTATCAAAATGTATCAAAAATGTATCAAAAGCAGATTTTCCTGGAAAAATAGTAAACTTGGTTTTAAACTTTAGTATAAGCCTTTTAAGTATCTGAGAGTTTACAGCTTGTTTTTGTTACACAAGTGAAGTTTAGCTACAGCCCAGCAGCCCTAACAGGCCTTAGGATCCAGAGCAAAAAGGACCTAAATCCAACAGGACGCGTGTATGTCTCCTCTCCTCGTTGTGTAGCCGTGCTTTTGTTTCCCTTGCGGCAGCGCTTAAAATGCTGCGCATATGTGTTCCCACCCTGCCGTTTGCCACGGCACTGCACTGTGACTTTTCAGAGCTCTGGGGCTATGTCTGTTGCCCGTCCTCCTTTGCCAGACGGCCACCTGCTGGGAGATTATCCCAGGGTTCTCTGATTGTAACCCAAGGCACACATAAGAGGTTGATAAGGAAAATCAGATAACCAGTAATTTTTTCAAACTTGAATTAGACATCTTTCCTGCTCAACATGACTGTTCTTTGGTGCTTGTTCTAAGAAAGTCAGGTACTTCCTGTGCCAAACTTAAACTTGATAGTCTGAGTGACTCCTTTTACTAATGGATGATTACCATTAGAGATCCAGTCCTCTCTTTGCTTTGTGTGTAATACCTTCTTGAACTAAACTCTCAAATTTTCCATTTAGTGAATATTAGTTGATTTTGTTGAGGTTCAGTTTAAATTGCAGGGGAAACCCTTATGCTTGTGGGGTGGGGTTCCTCAGTACACAGGAATATTTGCAGATATAATTGTTGGGTGTGATTTATTTATTTTAGATTCCGAAGGCCTCCTCAAAACCAAGGAAAAGAATCAGAAGCTCCACAGTCGAGCACAAAGGCACCAGGAGAAAAAGGAGAAGATTCAGAGACATAATCGCAAACTTGGTGACCTGGTAGAAAAAAAGACCATTGACTTAAGAAGTCACTATGAGCGTCTGGCAGATCTTCGGCGATCCCATATATTAGAGCTCACCTCTGTCATTTTCCCAATTGAGGAAGTAAAGACTGGTGTGAGGTACAGTAAGCAAGTCTTTTGACTCTAGGAATAGATCAAGTTCCAAATACTATGTTTAAAGCATGTCAGCACCCCACTTAGTTGGCCTCATTCCAGGGTCACTGGTTTTCCTGGTAATGAAACGTAACTCTTCCGTGCTTCAGCAAACAGTATGTACTGCACGGGGCTGGGGAGGTAGCAAGGGTGAGGGGTGGGGCCCAGGCTTGTGACTCTCACAGAGCTTCAGGTGAGGGCCTGACTCACACTCCTGATTAAGAACCATATGAGGAGTGATGTTAGTTGCATTCCCAGCCGGCTGTTCATTAGTTGTGTGAGAGAGGCATGTTCTTGACCTTGAAGTCTTATTTCTTTGTTAAGTGGGGATTTAAAAATACCTACTTCACAGAGAAATCATGAACTAACATGTAAGAAAACACTTAGTGCTTGGGGTCTCTCACATGGTGGGCACTACGTGTTGACTTCCTGCTAACTGTCATTTGTTGTGTCAGCTGCTGTCAAGCACCGAATACTGTGGTTTTAGACGTTGGCACTGGTGCATGGATACCCTGGGTATTTTTAAACTTCCCCGATGCTGCTGCTAATCAGCAGATTTGGAAACTACCATCAAAGACTTTCATTTACTCTCTCACTAACCACCAGGCTATTCTAGTCGAGGGCTTCCCTGTCTCTCTGGCTGCTCTCACTCTCCGGCACCTTTCCCTGGAATCTGACAGTACTGGCCTCATGCTAGTTTTATAACTCTTCTTTCCTGCCTGTACTTCAGTCTGTCTTTTAGTTTGTTGCCAGAGTTGACTTCCTAAAAGCCTAGAAGTCTGATTGTTGCTTCCAGCTTGAAAACTTACTCTCTGACTCTTAAGTAATTTGTCATTAGTAAGAGTTGGCAAAAAGAAATATAAAGAGGCAGATTCAAAACAGAGCAGACTATAAAGTGTAGAAAGAGACGTCAAGGTGGCATTTTGGATCTGTGGAGAAAAGTTGGATTATCCAAAAATTGGTGTAAAGACAGCTGGCCAGGCCTTGGAGGAGGAGGAGGGCGGGGAAAGCTGGCAGAACAAATACACTATGCCAAATTAAATTCTGATGGGTCAAAGATAGCAGTGTTAAAACGCATCACAGTAGATAAAGACCAAGGCGCTGTTCTAGATTTTAGGAGACTGACAGCTGAATGCAATGTGTGGTCTAGAATTGGATCTTTTTTTTTTTTTTTTTTTTTGAGACAGAGTCTCACTCTGTTGCCCTGGCTAGAGTGAGTGCCATGGCGTCAGCCTAGCTCACAGCAACCTCAAACTCCTGGGCTCAAGTGATCCTACTGCCTCAGCCTCCAGAGTAGCTGGGACTACAGGCACGCACCACCATGCCCAGCTAATTTTTTTCTATATATATATTTTAATTGTCCAGCTAATTTCTTTCTATTTTTAGTAGAGACAGGGTCTCACTCGTGTTCAGGCTGGTCTCGAACTCCTGAGCTCAAGCAATCCACCCGCCTCGGCCTCCCAGAGTGCTAGGATTACAGGCGTGAGCCACCGCGCCCAGCCTAGGATTGGATCTTAAACCTCAAAAAGGCTATTAGCAGGACAATTGGAAATAGTTGGATAAAGTCTGTAAATTAGTTAATAGTATTTAGCAATGTTAATTACCTGGTTTTGATCATTGTATTTTCCTGAATTGATAATTTGGGGAAGTTATGTGAAGTATATACAGGAAAACTTTAAAATTCTTGCAACTTTTCTGTGAGGCTGAATTTTTTTCAAAAAGAAAACATATGTATACTATAAGAGAGAACATGGAGAAAAATTTTCTCCTATGCCTGTGCTATTGTAATCTTTTACTTAGTGTATATTATTATATACCACTACTTTTTTATTTTTTAAAAAGAAGCTGGTGGTTTTGAAGTAATCTCTATACTGAGATTTCTTGTCCGTTTGCATTTCTCTAAACTCCCTTGGGTGGGAGAAGGAAGAGGTAGAAGTGCAGCTTAGAACTGAGCACAGTACCCCAGCCTTCACTGTGACAGCCAGGAGAAGCTATGTCGCACGTATGTTGTGGCAGAAGAAAAAAGATTGAGGCCCACCAGCCAAGAAAACAGAATCTAAACTTGGTGCCCCACAGAAGGCCCTTTTATAATAACACTAACACATTTCCCTTTTTCACTGCATTGACATTTGTACTGGTGGCTCAAAAGCCATGGTGGGACCTCTGGTGCCTTGACATGTTTCAAGTCAGTAATGCCAGACTGTAGTTAGTCATTATATTCCACTATGCAATTGCAGTTAAGAAAAGGAAAAAAGGTAATTTGACTTAGGAATATCCTTGATGAAGCAGTAAAAATTATTTTATTAAATCTCGACCCTGAGTATACATCTTTTTAATATATAGTTGTCCCAAGACCCCTGCAGACACCAAAATTCAAGGATGCTCAAGTCCTTTATATAAAATGGGGGTAGTATTTGCCATATAACCTACGTACATCCTCCCATCTACTTTTAATCTGCAGTCGCCACCCCCTGGGCCGTGGACCAGTACCAGTCCACCACGTTAGGGACTGGGCTGCAGAGCTCCACCCCCCATGGAAAAATTGTCTTCCATGAAACTTAGGAAGGGGAGGAGGTGGGGTGGGCCTGCACAGCAGGAGGTGAGCAGGGGCAAGCAAAGCTTCACCTGTATGTACAGCTGCTCCTCATCACTGACCGGCATCACTGACGGAGCAACCCCCTCCCACCCCGCCCTTGTCTGTGGAAAAATTGTCTTCCATCAAACCGGTCCCTGGTGCCAAAAAGGTTGGGGACCACTGCTTTGAATCATCTCTAGATTATTTATAATACCTGATACAATGTAAATGCTATGTAAATAGCTATATTTTTAATTGGTTTGGGTTTTTTTTGTCATACGGTTTTTGTTTTTTCCCCCGAATGTTTTCAAATCCTCAGATGGTTGGATCCACAGATGTGGAACCTGTGGATGCGGAGGGCTGACTGCACCGTGTGATGCAATGGGAAGCGTACATAAAGCACTTTTGCTGCATACTGAAGTACCATGGTGTTGGCTCAAGGAAAAGCTCTGGAGCGATTGAGTTTCGGGCTAAGCTAGCTGCTATTTTGTTGGACACTAATTGAAATTTTTCTGAGTTTTAATTTCTAACACAATAAATATCGGTAATCTAGCCCATACAAACAAAAGTTCTTTGGGATGCTCAAAATGTTTTGAGTATTTAAAGGGGTGTTAAGGCCACATAGTTTGAGAACCTCGCCCTCACTCATGATGCGGTCTTCCTCATATACGCGGAGCTTCTGTCTCACAGCTGGTTTGATCTTCATCTCTGATAGCAGTCTCTTGCCCATATAGATTCCAATTAAATTCCTCTGCTCTGTGCAACTTGGATGATCTGGCACATCTGGCAAGTATACTGCATGTCCCTAGAAGCCTGGGCTCTTGAAATCCATGTATGTCTTCTGACCTTTAGAGATCCTGCAGATGTGTCTTCAGAGAGCGACAATGCCATGACCTCCAGCACCGTGAGCAAGCTTGCCGAAGCGCGGAGGACGACATACCTCTCAGGACGATGGGTCTGTGATGATCACAACGGAGACACCAGCATCAGCATTACAGGGCCTTGGATTAGCCTCCCCAACAACGGCGACTACTCTGCCTACTACAATTGGGTGGAAGAGAAGAAAACGACGCCGGGGCCTGGTGAGAAGCAAAATATTCTTTGAAAACGTACATACATACATATGTATATGTTTACATGAGATAAAATTTACATAACAGAATTAACAATTTTAAAATGAACAATTCAGTGGCATTTAATACATTCACAGCATTGTACAACTATCATCTCTGTAGTTCCAAAACATTTTCATCATCCCAAACAGAAACCCCCTGGCATGGAAGTATCATATTCCCCATTCTCCCCTCCCCCCCAGCTTCTGGTAACCCCTAATCTGCCCTCCGTCTCCATAGATTTGCTTGTTCTGGACAACTTATGTGAAAGGAATAATAGAACATGTGTCTGGCTTCTTTCACTTCAGCATGCTGTTTTCAAGATTATCCACATTATAGCATATATCAATATCTCATCCCTTTTATGGCTGAATAATATTCAATTGTACAGATATACCACATTTTTTATATTTATCTCATCACTTGGTAGACTGAAAATGTTTTTTATTTTACTGTTTTTTTGTTTTTTTCCATTTTGTTTTCTCCAGTTACCTATGGAAGCAATATATTTTCTAGATGTTTCACCTTTTGGGGGTTGATATTGCTTTGTTTATATAAAAAGACACTACTGGCCAGGTGTGGTGGCTGATGCCTATAATCCTAGCATTTTGGGAGGCCGAGGTGGGAGGATTACTTGAGGTCAGGAGTTTGAGGTTGCTGTGAGCTAGGCTGAGGCTGATGCCATGGCATTCACTCTAGCACAGGCAACAAAGTGAGACTGTCTCAAAAAAAAAAAAGACACTACTTAAAGAAGTACATTTAGCCAGTCGAGTCCCGTTTTTATACCTTTGTAATGTATTTGTTTTAGCAGTCCTAAATGGACATTGAAATACTCTGCAGTTCCTCCTTGGAGAATAATTGTTCTTTTAGTCATTCAGCAAATATTTAGTGAGCACATGCTTTGTCTCTTGAACATTGCTGGGCACTGGTGATACAAAGGTGACCAAGACAGCTGTAGCCCGAGAAGGGCAGGAAATGAGTAAATGATGGAAGCCACCTTACATGGGGGAGTGGGGTTCTCTGGAAGGAGCCAGCAGCATCCTCGGGCAGGTGGGGGACAGAGGAAGGGATGACTCCTCCATAGGTAGTCAGGAAAGGCCTCTCTGAGGAGGTGACATTTGAGTTGGGCATTCATTGTTCTGAAACCACATTATAAAGTCCTAGTGATCAGACTTTCATTTCATTTATGCTGGGCCCGTTTAGGCCCCTTTGCTTATGTTATGTTCTACTCAGCAAAAAAACATAAACGAACCATTTATAAAGTCTGGTGGCCAGGGAGCTTCTATTAAGTAAGGAATAAAACTTTTAACTGTCAATAATGATAAAATTGTAAACAACAAAATCTTGGTTCATTGGTATTTTTGTTGAAATTAAAGTTGCTTTGTGTGTGATTGTTGTTTTACTTCAGACATGGAGCGTAATAACCCCGCGTACACGATCAGTGCTGCATTGTGCTACGCAACTCAACTGGTCAACATTTTGTCTCATATACTTGATGTGAATCTTCCCAAAAAGCTATGCAACAGGCAAGTAATTGAACGTGGTGATACCATCTTTATCATGGATCTCTCAATTCTATTGTGTTCTTATTTATTCTGATTAAACCAAAACCAAAAATTTAAGTATTACCAAGACAGAGAAGATCTAACTGGAATATTGAGGTTAATTTCAAAAGCCTTATGTGCAAATTCATCTTACAATTATGGATGAAGTCTCTGAGAATACCACAGAGAATATAAAAGGAAAAACCAAGATATTCAGGGCATATAATGCTGTCCCGCATGTGTAAGAACTGGGTAAATTGTAACAGTTGAATTTTTTATTTGTTTTTTTGGTTTTTAAAATAAAAGCCTAATGTGGTTTAAAACTGGGGGGAAAAAAAAAGTAAAGATACACAGTCTACCCAGTTCCTGCTAAGACAAGACCTTCCTACCACCCTCTAGTTATTCTTGCATTTCAAGCAAATATAAGCATGTTATCTCTACCCCCAACCCCCATTTAATCACAAATGGTAGCATGCTATACAACAGTGTTTTACACTTTCCTTTTAAGTTCTTATTTATCTAACAGATATTTACGGGGTGCTTTCTGTGTGCTAGACACAATTCCAGGCACTGGGGGCTATACTGATGCCAAAAACATAAACCCTCTTTGAGCTTACATTTTAACGGAAGGCACAAGTAGTAAATCCACAGTATGTCAGATGGTGTGATAAGTGCTGTGAGCAACATTAAAACAGGGTGAGAGGAAGGAATCATGGAGGCATGTAGGGGCTTGCTGTGTTAGAGTGGGTGGGTGTGTGGTCATGTGGGGAACCTGAGGGAGGCAGGGGCAAGCTGTGTGGACCCCTAAGGAAAGAGGCTGCAGGCAAAGAGAATGGCAAGTGCAAAGCCCTGGATAGAGTAATGAGGGCAGAGAGGAAGGTAGGGGTGCAAATCTTGTGGGGCCTCATTGGGCCGTTGTATCCTTCAGCTGTCATTCTGCCTAAAGTGGACAGTTACAGAGTTTTCCTATCTATAAATGTACCAAGATCTTACCAGTCTGATAATTCAGAGAATAATCTTGTACATTCACCATTTCATTAGTGTGTAGAATTAATTTCCTGAAGTGGAATCGCTTGGTCAAAGGGCATATGCATTTGTAATTTGTATAGATGCAGTGAAATTGTACTCCATGAGGGCAGTAGTTTGTTCTTAGAAAGTCTCCGATAAATGCAATTTACTAAGGAGGCAAAGGACACAGTGTATGTTTTATACCTAAATGTAGTGTAAATGGACATTTTAACATAGAATTCCTGCCAGAAAAAACCCACTTTATAAATTATGTTTGTTTTACAGTGAATTTTGTGGGGAAAACCTCAGCAAGCAGAAATTTACTCGAGCAGTGAAGAAATTGAATGCAAATATTCTTTACCTTTGTTTTTCCCAGGTATGGAAAATGTATTGTGAACTGATTTTTAATCTGTAACACAGTCAGAAGTATTAATCAATTCTTTGCTTTTTCTAGCATGTAAATTTAGATCAGTTACAACCACTGCACACCCTCAGGAATCTAATGTACCTGGTCAGTCCGAATTCCGAACACCTAGGCAGGTAAGAAGGGTATTTGTTGCTTTTCTCTAAAGTGTTGTTTCTATGACTACTTTTAAGTAGAGTTGTACATGTTGGCAGAGTACCAGGGGCCTGTTCCCTAATCCCAAACTCACAAAGGACAAAAATAATACAGTCCCATACAGAAGGAAACAATGGCTAATCATACCTGAAATTTTATGGTCCTTGTTGTAATCATTTCTCAGAGAAAATATCAAACATTTTTAACACCAAAAATGCAATAGGAGACCCCAAATGTGACTGGAATAGGGCCTTCTTGTGGTCTCCCTGAAGGCCAAAGGCCATTTCTTTGAACCTACATCTGTTTTTTCTTTAGCCCTGCCTAGTGTGTGCCTTGTTCTTTGCATTTTCTTTTGTTCCCACTCATTCCTTGCCCCTCGTAACAGTTCTTCACGATTTTCTTTTCATCACTGAGTCAATCTGGTCACCATTTGTCAGAGATAGAGAATATTAGAGGTTTATGAGATGAAATGGGTTTAAACTCATTGGCTTAAAAACAAGTCAGGAACAAAAAAACACCAACCAGGACTGGTCTGTGGGATCTTTTTATTCTCTTAGCCCCATAAAAGCATGAAATATATGAGACTCAGCTTTGGTACCATCCAGGCCTCCCTGCTCTGAGTGCTTACCCTTTTTTCCTTGCTCTTGGCAATCTGCCCATACATTTCTGCAGAGATACAACATGGGTAATGTATATACACTTTTGAAAGAGAACTCAAAGAAAGATAAGTGGTGGGGAAGTTCTTTTGGGATTCTCTTCCCCATCATCCATTTGCTTTGACACTGAAACCCTAATCCCATTCATTGGTTCATGAGCGACGGGAAACCTGAATGTTAGAAATCCATCCCAGCTTTAGTGGTTGATTTCTGTGAGTTTATTCACCATCTTCTCTGTGTCTTATCTGTAAATGGCTTAACATTAGGAAATTTGTCCTTAATAATAAGAGCTAATATTTATCGAGCCAATATTTATTGACACTGGGCCAACCACTTTACATGATTTGAATTATGTCCTTCCTACTTTACAGAGAGGAGAAACTGAAGCTTAGTGTGGTCAAGTAACTCATGCCATGGTGACATGCCAATAAAAGTAGTGGAGCTATATTAACATTGCTATGGAGGCCTTGCCAAGGAAAGGATTTTTTAAAAGAAATAAGGTATATTTATGTTGAGAACAAAGAAACAAAGTTGACATTATTGTAGATGATATAATATTGGACTGGATATCCAAGAGAACTAAGCAATTTATTAGAAATGATAGTTCATCACGTATAAGTGCAAACATGAAAAAAATGATAGTTCTGTCTGGTGACTAGATACAAGATGAACATACAAAAAGCAGCTGCTTTCTCTCATATGCCAACACCAACCAGTTAGAAAATGTAATGGAGAAAATCTTATTACAGCAACAAAAACTATAAATATATAGCAATAATCCTAATAATATATATATAAAACCTATATAAAGAAAATTATGAAACTTCTTGAATGCACTGTATGAGGAGTGGGACTGAATGAAAGAAGGCCCCAGGCAGTGAAGACTCTTACGATTTTATAGGACGGGAAGGCTCCGTACTGCAAAAAATGCCACTTCTCCCAGAAGAAAAACTGATCCTATTTCACGGAGCCTTGACAGGCTGATTCTAAAGTTCAGCTAGAAGCATAATCTGTAAGGAAATTTTAAAAAAGAATAATGAGGGATGGGATTGGTCCCTTTCAAAACACAGTATAAAGGTAATTAAGACAGGTGCTGTCAGCGTGCAAATAGGTGGAGCGATTAGAGGAAGAGAATAGTCCTAAAGCAGACTTGTGTCTGTGTGGGAATGTAACAGGACAGAGGTGGCATTTTGAATCAGATAATAGCTCAGTAGTGTTGGGCCAGTTAGGTATTCATGTGGGGAAAAAGTTGGATTCATACCATATTCCATATATAAAAATTAATTCCAGATGATATAAAAGACCTTATTTAAAAAAAAACTATAAAATAACCTAGAGAAAGGATAATGTTTTATAATCATAGGGTGGGAAGGAAATTCCCAAGCAAGCCCCAAAAGCCAAAAACCATAAAGAAAAAGTAGTTACGTATTTTGAAACCCTAAATGTCTCTGGAAAAAGATACCATAAACAAAGTTAAAAGACAAGGAATAGATGGGATTTACAGCTTCTATAACAGCCAACAGGTTAAAATCTAGACTATTTAACAAAATTTTTCAAGTCAATAAAGGAAAGACCAACAACCATGTAGAAAAATAGACAAAGAATTCAAACAGGCAGTTGGTACAAGAGACGAAAGTAGTATTAAAATGAAAACTTCTTCAGCCTCATTCACAAATAAAGAAACGCAGCTGGGCATGGTGAAAGCCTTTAGTCCCAGCTACTCTGGAGGCTGAAACAGAAGGGTCACTTGAGGCCAGGAGTTCGAGGCTACAGTGAGCTATGATCATGCCTGTGAATAGCCACTGCACTACAGCCTGGGCAACAGAGCGAAACCCATCTCTAAAAAAAATAAATAGAATAAACAAAATGTAAGAATAAAGAAATGCAGTTCAAAACAGGTTTCCATTTTCAGCCGTGAGTTTGACAAAAATGGAAGGGATTAATGATGTCCAGTGTTGGTGGTGGCTGAGGAGAAAGGGCACTCTCATACTGGAGGTGAATTTCTCTGGAGGGTCTGAGGTTTTCCATGGGCTTGTTCTCGAGTCAGGTCCTTCCATTTATAGAGCCCTGCCCTACAGAAATACACACACAGTTAGGCCATCGGTCACATCCAAGTTTATGGCCAGAGCTTCAAAAGTCCCTTTGTCACACCTGCCTCTACCAGAATCAAAGCTTAGAGAAGATCATGAATGGAACCTGGGTGGGACTTTCTGTTTCCATTCAGACTAGCAGAACTGAGGATCCCATCCTGAAACCAACATAAACTTTTTATTTGAAATAAATTCAGACTTACAGAAAAATTGCAAAAAATAAAAATAACACAAAGATCCATATACCCTTTACCCAGATTCACCTGTCATTAATATTTTACCCCATTTGCTTATCATTTTGTGCAGTCTGTGTGTGTGTGTGTGTGTGTGTGTCCATAATTATACACACACAAACGCACAAACATTTTTACCCTGAACCCTGTGAGGGTAAGTTGCACACACTGTGGCTCTTGACCCCTAAATACTTTGGTGTGTATTTCCTAAAAATATTTCCTTAACTAGAGTACAATTACAACGTCAGCTAATTGAACAATGATACCATGCTTTAACCTACTGCCCATATTCGCGTTTTGTCGGTGGACCTGACACTGAGCTTGAGAGCATTTTCCCTCCGGTACAGGATCTCATCTAGAGTCAGGTATTGCATTTAGTTGCTGTGTTTCTTTAACCCTCTTTAAATCTGGAACACTTTCACAGCCTACTTTGTCTTTTACAATGTTAACATTTTTTTTTTTCTATTTAAAGCATAGGCCCCTCCTCTCCTTTTAATAGAACTTTGATGTGGGGTTTCTGTGATGCTGCTTCACAATCAGATTCGGGCTGTGCATTCTAGGCTGGAATAGGGCCTGAGTGAGAGTGTCTCCTGGACGTTTCATCTGGAGGCACACGGTGTCCATCTGTCCCATATTGGGGATGTTACCTCGATCACCCAGTCAAGGTGCTGTCCAGTTTCCCCACTGTATAGTTCCTGTATTTTTCCTTCCTTGCAACTAGTAAACAGTCTGTGAGGGAGACACTTTCACACCATGCAGATACCTTCTTATCAGAATTTCCCCCTGGATTTAGTATTTATTGATGATTCTTATCTGATCCAGTTTCTACCATGACAGTGCCTGCATTAACAACACATCATATCACCCAAAGTCCATAGTTTACATTAAGAGTTCGCTCTTGGTGTTAATACATTCTCTCAGGTAGTATTTTGAAATAAGATGTATTGTGAAGAGACTTTTATGAAGCCAGAAAGATCATTGTGTTGCCTTAATTGATAGAATAACTCCCTGCAGCATCATGAGAAAATGAGTATTCTGGCTTCAGGTTTTGAGTAAAGATATTAATTATTCAGCTAAAGTAAAAATTAGAAAAATGATTCTATAATCATTGTTCCCTGAAGACATTAAATGAAAAAGAATTAGTTCTTTCACCGGTTAGTTGTGAGGGCTGTGCCTCTGGCTCAGGTGGGTAAGCCAGGTAGGTGGTAGCTCTCTAACCTAGAAGTGGTGGGAGGGAGGTATCAAGTGGCGAAACATCCCGGGGCCTCTGCACGGGCTCTCCTCCTGCTCTTGGAGCTTCTTAGAAATGTAGGTTGCTCATTGGGACCAAATTGCTCCAAACTGGCCACTCTAGGCATCATCCATTTGTTCACCTTTCATTGTAATACTCATTTGCACACCTGCTCTGTGCCAAGTGCACTCTGACCCCTGGGATTCTAAGTAGAGAACTGGAGTCCAGCGCAGCTTCCAGTGGGGAACGCTCTGCCTGGAGAAAGTGTCATTCCTCCCTGTGTCACTCCTGCCAGTCTCTTGGGAAAACCCTTAAAGAGGGGATCTGGAAGGACCCCAAGGGTAGATAAAGCAGCATCAAAGAGGACGGCAAAACAGGCCGAGCCCCCAGAGCTGGGAGGAAGGAAGGAAATAGCTATGGTAGAAAGCTGACTGGGGCCAGAGAGGCAGCTTGGGGGAGACAGACACTTAACCTGCAGTAAGTGCTGAGGCCCTTGGACCACACCGCTGAACAGAACAGAATCAGCCCCATGTGTAGTAAAGCAGGGAGCTAAGGTATTTTAGTTGTTTATGGCCATTTTTAGTAGACAAATGCCATGGGAGGAAGAGGAAGCCCTCCAGCCAGATGGGCAGGTGGGAGGGTATGGCGATCTAGCGAGGGCCAGGGCCTGGGCTAGGGCGACACGTTGAGAATGGAAGGGGGACTTACTTGGTGATACCAGGTAGCCTGGTGACCCCAGACGTGGAGGGAAGAGGGCAGCAGTCCCAGCTGGCTTATGCTTTGAGCCCAGTTGACAGCCCCAGATAATCTGAGATGGGTATGAGGGGTTAGGGCTTGGCAAGCCAGAGCGTATTTAGGAGTGGAGCTGGGAGGGAGAGGTATTTGAAAAAATGGCTTTAGAGTAGAACTGTTTGCTAAGGGAAAGAAAAAGGGAAGGGAGAAAAGAAATGAAGTGTAAGGAGAACCTTGAGACAGAAAAGGGATACTCGGCGCCAGGGTGCTGGCTGCAGTGGTCGTTAGCTTGTCTGGCAGAGAAGGTTCCAAGATGAGATAGGAAGATTGTGGAGGAGAAACCCCCAATTCTGCTTTTACCCCTCACAAAATAAAGACTTGTAGGCAGGGCGGGGGCCTCGTAAACTTGGGAGCCTCTGGTCTGAGGGCCTGTTTGAAAATGTAAGTCGTTCACTGGAGACCAAGGGGAACACCCTGTAGCACATCTTCCAATTTAATTAATACTCGTAAAGCCCTAAAAACTGTGCCTGGAATGTAAATGTTAGCTATGATTGCTTTATTCCAGCTGAGAAGAGTAAGGGCTACTTGCCCCTGGAAAAAATGAGTCAGATGGTGCGGATCTGGTGAGGTGCCTTGGAGGCCCGGCACTGGCCTTTTATCACTCCGAAGGCTGCAAAGGATGTTGGACTATAGACTAAAATGGCAGGCTGTACGATTCTAGGGTATTTCTCATTTCTGTCTATTTTTGTTGACCTCTGCTGTTTAACCCAGAGTATTTATCAGCAAAACCCTTTCATGAACGGAGGCCTCATGTGCTTATCTTGGGGCAGCAGCAGGGATGGGGGTGCTGCGGCCCCACCCTGCAGTGGGCTGCAGGGCACTGGGCCCGAGGCAGAGCCGGGAGCATCTGAAAGGGGGACGGGAGGAGCAGCAGAAAGGCCTCTGTGAGCTTTCATCTGACACAGTCCCCAGAGTGGTGTGAGGAGCCGCACAGAGGATGAGGCCTCAGGAAGGATTACTGGACTTGGCAGTGAGAGTGTCATTAGGGACTTCTGGGAAATAAAAATAGCTTTCTCCTGAAACACAGTGCAGAAATACATACTGTGGCAGATGAGTATATTCTAAACAGTTTTCTCATCCTATGCAATAACTGTGTCCTTAGAAAATTATGTGATGATATTTTAAAATGTGTATGCAGGAGCCTCCTGTTGACAACAATCTAAGGATGCTTTGCTTACATGCATGTAACCATATCATTTATCTTCTTTGAATCTTAAGAGTTTAATAATTTGGGGCTTCCATGAGGCACAGGGAACATCTGTATAGTTTTTTTTTTTTCTATACCGGGAAATCATACATTGGACCACCTTGGACCATCTCAGTGGATGAGGTTTCTTCCCCCCCACCCCCCATCCCGGGTCTTCACAAAGTGAGTGAATTGAGGAAAAGCGTGGTATCAGGATTTTATTCATTACTTGGATGGAGGTTTTTATTTGGGTAAAGAAGGTCTCAGTTGTAGATCAAAAGTGAGTGCCGTACAGACGTAGGAAATGGTGTGTGCGTAGGTGTCCCTCTGTCCCATCAGGTAGAGGGGCCTGGGGAAGACAGCACAGGCATGTTATCCCGGGTTGTGAGAACGGTGCTTGTCCTAAAGAGGTCTCCTACTGTCTGCACACAGGTCGGGACCCTTTGAAGTGCGAGCAGACCTTGAGGAGTCCATGGAGTTTGTGGATCCCGGAGTTGCTGGAGAATCAGATGAGAGTGGAGACGAGCACATAAGTGATGAGGAAACTGACCTGGGCACGGACTGGGAGAACCTGCCAAGCCCCCGATTCTGTGACATCCCTTCCCAGCCCGTGGAAGTCTCCCAGAGCCAGAGCAGCCAGGCCTCTCCACCCATTGCGAGCAGCAGTGCAGGAGGGATGATTTCCTCCGCAGCAGCCTCGGTGACCTCCTGGTTTAAAGCCTACACTGGACACCGTTAACAAGCATGGACCAAATCATGCCAGGTTTGCATCGAGAAAGTTCTCTCACTACATTCTAGTAAACCATATCTGTTTAGTTAAGATAGTGCCTGGAACAAAAAGGTTAAACTGTTGTTTTGGGTTTTTTTTAAGCAGGGAGATAAACATTTCTATTTGTCAAGTGGCCTGTGATAGTGTTCAACATGCTTATGATAATTAATAGAACAGAGGGGTCAAAGGTCCTTCTACCCAGACCGGTGTTGGCAGAAGGACCTGTGCATGTGGCCAGTTGTGTTGAGGTTCCTTCTGGTCCCAGGCCACAGGGCCCCCCATACACGGGTCAGTGTGTTGGTCCTTGTCTTGCTGAGACTATTCCTGACACTTGAAGTTTTAGAGGTTGATTGAATCATAAGAAGTGATTCTTGATGATTAGGACTTAAAAGATTAAAAACTCTATAACATGAGTTTGTTTTTCTGCCATTGTTTTTTGTACAGAGAACCAGCAGGCAATTTGAAATACTTTATTTCTTTACACTTTGGTCATCTTTGGTTTTTAGGGCAAGAATTTTGGTTTTGTTTGGGAGGGGTGGCCTTTTCTGGGGGAGGGGGTAGTTCAAAACGTATTTCATTTGTGCTGCTCTGTCGTAGTTCGTCAGACATTCCTGTTTTCCTTTCCTCCCCACACACCAAAGAAAACTAAGGTCTTTTTTTCTTTAGGACCCACATCCATAAATGGAAGAAATCCTAGCTGCAATAATGTCCTAGAGATTTTCTAACTATTTTTTTGTATTCTGAGGGGAATTAATTGCTCATTCTTACCTAAGTTATCGAATTCCTACCATCCACACTATGTGCATTTTGAAATTGAATTTATTTTCTCTGAGTGAAAGTAAGTCATTAAGGTCATTCCCTATGTAAGCAAAATGCCTGCCTGGGCACAGGTGACAAGCCACTTAAGTGGCCTCTAGTCATTCTTGCAGTGTCCAATTTCTTTCTAAGGGATTTAGTAGGTGGCAGGTGTTTACAGGGGAAACCACCATCCCGCTTGTTTCCTAGAGGACGTCGTTGCTCCGAGGACACGACCCTTGCTCAGAGATGCAGAGCTGCTCCTTAGAGCTGACACTACTCTTCTCTGTCCTGGGGAAAGCTCAGATGTAAAGAATTTTCCCTCACCAAGAGATCACTTTCAGCTAATGTGTCTTGTCATTCTTAGTGACAATCTTACAAGAAAACTATAACGAGAGGGGCATTATGTACAAATATGTAAGTAGTTTTATTTTTAATAACTGCAAAAAATCTTATATAAAAACTACAAAAAGAAGTCCTATGAGAAATTCCTAACAGGCATTATTCCCCTATCCTCTTGGTGTGATTAGCATGATAGCGCCTCAGATAAATCATTCAGAGGTTTGCCATGCCCCAGCTGCTTTTCTCACGTCATTATTATAGTTGATATTTGCCTCCCAAGTCCGAGGTGCTATATAGCTTTTGCTATGGGTATTATTTGGTGTTTGGTATAGTTGCAGGTAGAGCTGCACAAGAGGGGAGTTTATTCCTATCCAGGAGTCCAAGTTCCCTGGCTGTATAAATTTTCTGCTTAAGGAGGAAACAGGCTTTTCTCCTTGTGGGTTCTTACGCAGCTGGTATCTCTTTCAAATGCTCAGCTTCATGATTGCTGGGCTTGCATTTTACCATCCAGTTCTGGAGCTCCCACAGAGTGAATATGGTAGACTTGAACAAATACCAGATAAACTTAATCTTATGAGATATAAGAGTTGTCTAGGTACTTCGGACCCTCAGAAGGAAGAGCTTAGTCTCAAAGAGTTGGAAGCTTGGGAGTTAAGTAGACGGTGGCTTCGGCCGAGAGATACACAGTAGTCATGGCTTTCTCAAGTAAGCATCTTATAAAACCCTGAACGTTAGATGAAGCTTAAGTATAGAATCCAGAGATCACAAACTCATATATAGAGTAATTCAACAAAACTTACAAGGATGTGGGAAATTTAGGGATTGATAGGATATATTTGTTGTTAATATCAACTAGAGGCACTTTACGTAGGGTTAAGTGATCAAACCCTTGTGTGGTTTTGAACATCAACATACTGGCTTACACTGCTGAAGTATTTCGGGTTTCATTAATTTTGCACTGGATCCACCCTGTAAATATTCCTAAATATACATTTCAACCACTGTTTTTTCTACTCTTTTTGCTGCTCATTAAAATCTTTCATGTAGGTGCCAGAACCATATGTAAACAGCTTTTTAAAAAATTGAAGCTGGTATTTTTTTTAAACAAAAAGCCATAGAACTTGGTCATGTTTTCCATTTTAAAATGATTTATTGAAAAAAATGTAATACTAATAAAAACCCACAGGCACCAAATAGGCTGCTTAAGATGGTCTGTTCAAGACATTTTTTTTGTAATGGACTATAACTAAGTTTTGCACATCTGTAAGTTGGCGGAGGGGAACAGTATGTCACTATATTGGGTGCAGTGAACGGATTCCTTTAAGGACTCGAGTATCATTTGGGAAAGAGCGTTCAGCGGCATGCTGTTCAAAGAACTACAGTGTCTGAGAATCTCCTCGCAGTGTCACATTGCAGGAATTTCCCTTTGCTCTGCAACTTCTAAACCAGTTTGAGTCATACAAATGTTTTCTAAACTTTTATTGTATTACTGCAATAAATCTTTTAACAGTACTTTGCTAATATATATGTCTTTTTCAAATTCTGACTATTCACTTCTATTGCTACATTGAGAGTAGCAAGAATGAGATCTAATCCTGAGGTATTTTATACAAGTCATAATTTTTAAGAAATTTTCTAAGAAAAAAATGCCTGTTAATAGGTTTTTTAAAATTATAGATCATGGTGGTATTAATAACAGTGGTCTTTCTTTGGTAAGCTGGGAAACTGGTCACTTACTTTTTCTAAGGCTGTATTTTTCTTTGGTACCCATCATATGAGGCATGTGACCTACAGTAACTTGGTTCCTTGGGAAAGGAGTGGGCCTCTGAGATGCCCCTATGGAAATTGCTTCGACTTTGGGACAAGAGAGAAAGGGTAATGTTAGAGGGGACCTTTCAAGCTCAGAGGAAGAGTAGATTTGGAAAATCTCTTCCCCCTACACACCTTCCCCCCTCCACCCACATAACTAATCTCCCCCAGTGTCCCAGTGGGTAGTCTGTACCTTTCAGGTTAGATGATTGTAGAGAGGGGCCACCTGTAGGCGGAGGGGGTACCAAGAGTGGCCGCTGTGGAAGAGCCAGGCCAGCCAGGAGAAATGCCGAGGAGCTACTGCCACGGCCGCCCTGCCCCTTTCGCTGGAGTAGGCCAGCCTTTGAATACACTGGATGTTACCCAAGGGTGCATAACCACAATGTTTGGTCTTCCCATGAGGTTGTGCAAACATTAGCTGTGGCCACAAACTTTGGAATGGCGTGCATGTCAGTTGAGGGGACAGCATGTTTCCCACACAGGTACTTTCACCAAATCACAAAGATTGCAACACTAGCTTATTTGAACTCAAACGAAAAACAGGGATTGAAACGATTAGATTCCCCAAGTGCCAGATGCTACACGGTAGAGAATGCATTCAAACATGACATGCAGCTAGATACCATCAGCCCTTATTATTGGTGCCATCAGCGGTGTGCAGAAAGAAGGGTTTGGTGCAGACTGGCTTCATGTTTTTGAAGCAAGCAGTGGATAAAGGAGGGTGAATAGCCAGTCTGAGTGAAGAAGGAATGAATGATGGCTGTCAAAACTGTGGAAAACATCTGGGAATACTCATATAAAAAGTGTCCAAGGCTGGTCCAAAAACATTGGCAGAGAAGCACTGACAAGTCCATGACGGGGTGACTGGACAAAGCCCCGGAAAGGAACCCGTAGGTCCATGCTGTAACCTGCAGCCTGCTGCCAGGGGAGCTACTGGTAACAGCAGAGCCTAGATTATACCAAATGCACGAGCTTCCCTAGCCAAGAATGCTCCCACGGGGCCAGGGGAAAAGATCCTCCAAGACCCCTTTTGTCCGTGCTTCAGGTTTCTCATACTAGATAGAAAAGTACAGTATGGCCCAGAACAGTCAAAACCTGCCAGAACCCCTCACAAAAAGATGGTCACTAGGGAGGAATGCAGACATCTTATGGATCATGTACCATGTGTGAAGTACTGAGGGTGGTGGCACAAGATGCCCTCTGAGTCCACAGTGCAGTGGACAAGAGAGCTCCATATACTGTTGTCCCTTGGTATCCATGGCAAATGGCTTCCAGGGCCTCCCTAGAATACTAAAATTCACAGATGTCCGTTTTGTATCACCTGATAAAAAATGGTGTATTTGCATACAACCTATACACATCCTCTGTATTATTTAAATCATCTCCAGATTACCTGTAATACTCAAGGCAATGTAAATGCCATGTGATTATACTGTATTGTTTAGGAAATAATAAGAAAAGTCTGTACACAGATGCAGTTTTTCCCAAGTATTCTCAATCCACGGTTGGTCGGACCCAGAACTCACAGGTGCCGAGGGTCAGCGGTACGGTGACAGGTAAGAGGGATGTGTGGTGGCAGATGGCACAGGTGCTGAGAGGCACCCAGCCAGAAAAGGTGAACGGGAACACAGTGGGTTTCCAAAGGAGGTGCTACCAAGGCACGGAGCCATCAGTGTGCTTAGGCAGGGTCTGTGGCAAATTTTGAATGGTCCTTTCAGAGCATGGCCGTTTTAACCCAGAGTCATTTTGACAGAGCCTAAAAAAGCAAATTTTAATCTTAATTTGGCCCTTTTTTCACTTCCAACTCACTCCTTTAAGTCTGTGACCCCACAGCAGTGCAGGGGGCAGGGAATGCCGCACTGTTGCAGGAAATCAACAACGGGGCTGCTTTCACCCGCTTGGCACTAGGGGGCCCCGAAGCACAGTGTCTTCCTCCTAAGGGAAAGCTACACTTGCCTGGAAGTGAAAACCAGGGAGGGGGTGCCCTCTGAAGCCACCTGCTAAAATCCTCTGTCACTCGTGCAGATGGCACTGGGAACCAGGTCCTGCTGCATAGTTCAAAACAGGTTGCCAGTGATTTCTGAGGGCCTAAGCACTGCATGCCAAGTGAGGCTGGGGCATTCTTGCTGTGCTCTCTGCTCTTGGTCACTTTAACCCCCACACAGTCACAGCTTTGTGTCCCACATGAAAACCAGGTCAGGAATGGCTGACTCGTGAAAACCAACCAACAAGAGTTGTTTACCTGTGTCCATGCTGGGCAAACGTAGAACCACAGCTAATAACAATGATAGCTAACATTGGGCACTTTTTACACACCAAGCTGTATTCAAAGTCCTTTATGTGCATTATCTCCTTTAATCCTAAATTATGAATCACAACAGACCTATTAGGAAGGCACTACTGAGCTTGCCAGTTTAGAACAAATCAAAGGGTAATAAAACAAGCTCGGGAAACTTCAGCCCAAGGGACTCCAGGATTTAAAACCATAACCATTTTCCAACAAGCCTCAGCTGGGGCGAGTCACGAGGAAAACCACTCTTGAAAGAAAAGCAAGCTATTCTCGGCCTCCTCTTGGTCCTGTCACGGACAAATCCGATGCGCCTGCAGGCTCCAGCCTAGCATCGCACCCACCGCCCACTAGAACATTTACCATCTGTTCTCCACAAGCCTGGAGCTTACGCTGATCGCAGGGTTTCTGGTGAGTACTCGATTTCAAGCCAACCTAGTTTTTAGGTCCTCCACCCACAGTAGCTTTCTGTGGCCCCAAACCTTCCAGCCTACCCACCAAGCATTACATGACCACAGGCCTGAATAGATATCTTTAATGACTTCTAAAGGATTGATTATACCCAGACAAGTTGTAAAATATCCTAGATAACAACACCTCACACCAAACAGGAAAATTGGGGGTGCTGGGCAGACAACTCAAAGTAAGTGTTGAGGAGTTGCAAAAACTTTAACTTACAATGTTAAGATGGTCTCTTTTCTGTGGCAGAAAACATCTCCTCCACTCCAACAATTCAAAAAAATTTTTTTAACGCTTATGACTCAATTCACAAGAACCTTTTTCAATACTATATCACAAAAGGAGGAAAAAGTCTTTGTAAAACTCAGGTCTCATTTAAGATGCGTGTTTTTATTGAAGTTTTAAAAAAAAATTTAACCAGACAGAAAGGATAAAATAGACAAGAATGTTATAATCTGACTATATAATATTCTCTCAATCTTGATGGATCACAGAAATATAACAAAAGATTGTTCTCTATGCTAATTTTCAGGTTGTCCAGTTAGACCATTATTTGGTATCCTTTGAACAGGTTAGCCTTTTAACTATTTAGAGTTTCTTCTCAGAAACATTCATATATTATACAGGAAACATTCATAGTTTATTTAGGAAACATTTATATTTTATACAGGATATACAAATTTGAGGCTAGACAATCAAAAAACACTCAATTATAGCCGCAACACTATCCTAGCTGCATTGTGGTGATTATGTTGTTCAGCCAGCTGTCCATTATATACAACTGGATTTTAATCACGTTATTTACAGAGGGGCCAAAGCACTCACTTAAAGGTAAAGGCGTTCGGGGTTAATGTGCACTTTCATAGCCCTATGAAAACACAACCATTATATACACTGTAAACACCACAGGGCATGAAATCCATCTCCAACCACAAACATCAGTCTCACAGGATCGAGCATACAAGGTCTAAGGTAAGGTGCCTGACTTTTCCTTTTTAAGAAATACCTTTCATCCGAGAGTCCTGCTATTCTTTTCATAGGATACTATTCACTTCAAATATGGTGCCAGTGCTCAAAACATTTCTAGAATCTCTTTCTGAGGACTGCCTGCAGAGTCTGCAGTGAACTCTTCTGAACGTTCTTGATGGCAGCAAGTCTTCATCCTTTGAGGATGGATTTGATTTAGGAAAACAGCCAAGTGAATCAAACTGTGGGATACTACCCCGGATCCAATGCGAGATGCCAGCATAAAAACACTGAGACCAATTTTCCTGTACAGCTCGTAAATTAAGAGTTTTAAAAATGCCTGAGCAGTGGCCGTCCTGATGAAGTACAGATTCTCCTAGAGTGATAACTCTCGAGGCAACACTCACTTGAATGGTGTTTTGTGGCTTTAAAAATGGGTCCTTTTGTTGGCTCTCACATGGACTTTAGTATTCCTCCTCAGTTTCAGTCCCTTTCGCTTTCTTATGGATTGCCCGATTAAAGCTGTGGAAGGCAGGAACCCAGTGATTGTCGTGAAGCCCCAGCTGACAGCCGGGGAAGCCTTTCTGAGACCGATGGCAGCACATCCAGTACCCTGGCCCATACGGCAACGCTTGGCAGTAGGGCTTGGGGTGCCACCGGCACAGGGACACATCCCCTTTCACATACTTTTTCTTGCACTGCTTGCAAGGATCCTCTCTATAGCGTGGATCTCGAACCCAGCGAGAATCTGCTGGCCTGATATTGTAGTATTCAATAATAAACTTGAAATAGCAGCAGGTACATTTAAGAGCCACTAAACTCTTAGTGGGAAGTAACCTGAAGATTTTTACCATAATGTGGTGGGGCAGAAAAACCATGTACTGCTGAGGCTCCAAAAGCTGCTGGATTTTAAACCTGGTCTCCAGAAAATCATGAGACACCTGCTTCTTCCAACTGGATGCCTCAAGTGCCGGTAATGTACTTTGCACAGAAGTAGTTGGTGCTACAAATGGCTCAGCGGAACCACTTTTCTCCCCAGATGCGCTGTCACCCTCAGCAGCAGCATCACGCCGGCTCGGCTCTGAGGACTCTTTTGTTGTGCTTTCGTTCAGCTGGGAACAGTCTGATGGGTGCTGACCAGGAGGCAAAAAAAACAACATCCCTGGAAGTGGGTCTTCACAGGAGTTTAAACTAGAAGGCTGGTCTTTCTCCACCTTGGACACAGTGATACTAATGCACAAAGATACTTTTCTTCTCTGATCAGGAGTGTGGCTTGTAAGTGGCACAAGCTCTCTACTCATACCATCAACAGCATCTGTGGGCAATTCAGTGGCTTGGGGACAGGCGTGAGAAGAAAAAGGTAACCTAACAAGTTCATCTGTCATTTCCACATCATACCTGTTGCTATTTTTCATGGCAGTTTGTGGACCTGGCTCTAATTCTGCATCGTCCATGTGGAAATTCACACCTGATGGCAATGAGAGACAGCCCTGAGAAGCATCATCCCAGGCCTTGTCCCCTTTAGGAGAATCGTCAGTTTTTGAGGGGACACAGGCTACAGATACAGACCCAGCAGGATTCACCTGAGCATCAGGTGCCTCCACGGCGCCTTTTTTTGTTTTGCCTTCATCAGCCTGAGTGCTCTTTGCAAGCAACACCCTGCCCACATTTCGACGGAAGCTGTTATTCCTCGAGAGGCTCCCAGGCTCACGCTGGCTCTGCTGCTTCAGGCACTCAGACTCCAGCCTGGCTACCATGTCGAGGACACGGACTGGTTCGCCCTGTGCTTCACCACCTTCAGGATTTCCTCTTTCTATGGGTTCTTCACACGCTCCTGGGGCAGAGAAGTGCTCAGAGGCTGGGGGCACTCCTCTGGATTGGCCAGAAAACCTCACAACAGCAGATGAGTTTGTGACGTTTTTCGCACAACTAGCTAGTAGAGCACTAGCTCTTTGCTCAAGGAAGGCAACCATCTGTATAACCGACAGAGGCCTCCCAGCATAGACTCCATCCCCACTGTCACTCACATAATGCACAGAACAGTGCTCGATGCCACACGCAAAAGGCTCGGGTTGGTAGCACCTGCTGTTGACGTCTCTCATCCTTTCTAACTGTATCTTGGCTTTTTTAAGATCCCCTGATTTTTTCCTTCTTTTAGTAACTCTCCCATCAATATCCCAGGAGCTTTTTATTTTCATAGATCCTATCCTATTGGTACACTGGTGGGCTGCAAAGAATGCAATTTTCTCCTTGGTATTTCCAGGTTTCACAACAGCCCAGATATCAAGTGGTCCTTCTTCTTCGCCCTGGTGGATTGTTGCAGATGGTGCATTCTTTTTGGTTTTAACATTCAAGCTGTTCTCTGCAGGACTCTTCCCACTCATACTGCACAGAACATTTGGAGAAAGGATCCCAAAAGGCTTTTGAGATGATGCTTTACCAAGAGAGACTGAAGGAAAAACACTGGGTTTCATGTAGCTAGCTCTGCATTTTTCATCACTTACAGCCTTTTGCTGGCTCATAGGAGTTCTCAGCGTTTCCCTGCTGACTTCCAGAGGGCACTCTTTCTTCTGGAGTTTCCAGTATGGCTTTAGGTGCATAACAGAGGCCCTACAGGAGAGAAATACACATTTGATTAGGAAACCAATTTTGTTTTTAGAAAAGTTTTTTTTAACACTTATTTCTTTCTAGGTTATCACAACTAGCATTTTATTAGCTGCAAAAAAGCCCATCAAAATCATTGTGCTGCTTCCTAAACTATTCCCATACTGCTCAATATCAAGATGTTTACAATCTTTCACTTGTTTGCTTATGTACTTTGCCCATCTATTAGTCTTGATTTTCTAAATCATCTATTTGTATCTAAATCATCTATTTGTATAAACATTTAACTGTCAAATTTCCTGGTACTATCTTAAATCAAATACCGAACCTATAATCCTTACTAATTCTAAAAACCACTTAGAACTAGTTCAGAAAAATAGTGCCTTGTTTTGTTCCCTGGCCAGGGGTAGAGATGGGAGCCATTTCAGAAATAAGACAAAAAGATTATTATATAACAGAGACCTGTGTTCTAGTCCCTGCCATATCATTTCACCTTGAGCAAGCCACTTCCTCTGGGTGTGAGCTGAAATGTTAACTGAGAGGTCGAAGTACTAGATAATCCAATGACTACCATTAGATAATCATTGTCTATATACAATTTACATAAAATAGCACACTGCTGGTGCTGCACACAAAATCCTGGACTGAAGAAAGAGTGTTTTCCAGGGATGTCTGATCTCCCACAAAATAAATCTACAGACCAAAATAAAGAGCTGCAGTCACAGGTTGGGGGGAATGAGGCAACAGCATCTACTGGTCTAAGCCTGTTCAGTTTCACCCACTCTCGTTCACCAGGACAGCAGTCTCAGACGTATCTTAGGCAACTCAGCATATTCCCTCTCATTTGCTCCACAATCTTTACTGAGTGCCCACAATATAGAAGCCTCCGTGGGAACTGCTCAGATGTCGATTTTAATCATCAAGAATGCAAGTGATCATCTGGAACAAGTTTACTTTTCACTTCAACTATTAATTCCTAGAGTCCAATCTCAGCTAAAAGAAGAAATATGTGTACCTTCTAGCCAGGTAAAAGGAAATCTCACATTTTAGGCACACAAGTTGTCTTTTAAATGATACCCTTGAAATGTATCTTATCAGGATCTTTCTGATCTTTGGCAATTTATATCCTAACCATCTGTACAAAGCTCCCCCCTTTCTGCACTGTAGCATTCTTAATAGCTTTCTATCATTATATTCTATAATCTAGTCTTATAGAAAGAGCCACCCAGAATTCCTCAAGAACAAGATAACATATAAATGAATAAAAGAGGCACATCTAGTGCTGTCTCTCTGTGCCAACTATCTTCTGGGTTTTCATAACCCTTCCACCCCTCTCCTAAATGAAATGTAAGAAATGGAGGTCAAGAAAAATAAATTCTCACATAATGATCTCATTACAGAGTATGCATAAATTTATTTTAAACTTTAGCAATATATGTGCTGTTTTGCACTGCACAGTATGTTCTCTTCAACTTCCTCCCCCACGCATTATTTTAGGTGCTATTATTGATAGACAGGGACATTAAGAAAAAACTCGTGTAATCAGGGAAGGCTTTTATTTGCATTTAAACTGTAAAGTGAGCTCAATTGACACATTACTTGTATACAGGTTTTATCAAGATTAAACAGGAGATGAGCCCGGAATACAAGTGAGGGAAGGAAGGGTGCCACAGGGAAGGGGAAAAGCCCAGTAAGGACACATGATCAAAGTCACTTCTGGAAAATGGGGGCAATTCCATGGGACCCTTGAAGGAAGTAGAACATGAATCCCCCACTGATGGAAGGCTGCCTGGGGTTTCTCTCTCCCCTTCCCTTGCAGGGTTTGAAAGCCCCGAGGCAGAAAGTGGGAAGGTGCTGGTCAGACTCAGAGAAACTGCAAAAATCTTTTTTTTTTTTTTTTCCTGAGACAGTCTCACTCTATTGCCCGGGCTAGAGTGCCGTGGCATCAGCCTAGCTCACAGCAACCTCAAACTCCTGGGCTCAAGTGATCCTCCTGCCTCCGCCTCCCAAGTAGCTGGGACTACAGGCATGCGCCACCACACCCAGCTCATTTTTTTCTATTTTCAGTAGTGACGGGTTCTCACTCTTATTGCTCAGGCTGGTCTTGAACTCTGACCTCAAGCAATCTTCCCACCTTGGGCTCCCAGAGTGCTAGGATTACAGGCATGAGCCACCGCACCAGGCCCAAAAATCTTGTTTTGGTTGAAATCAGTGGTAGACTGAGGACGTGATGCAGGGAACCAGGGACATCTGCTGCAAAAATCCATGAAATTAAAACTTTAAATCTCCAACAGATCACACCAGGTGGTGGCACTTTCCCCATCCCCAACAAACCCCCCACACAAAGACAGGCATGGGTAAAGCTCCACCTAGGTTTCCATGGTTGCCAGCCTCTTCGTCACAATTATATTTTGTAAGTTTGCTATAATAAAGTCCTAGTCTCTTGCAATGAAATAAAATGGAGGTTTATTAGCACCTACACATCTTAGACTCTCAGAAGGGCCCCTGTTAAGATCCCAGGGTTCACTGAATCAGAATTCTGGGGTTGGGCCCAGAATCTGTTGTTGACTTTAGACTGGCGTTTGAAGGGACTTTAGAGGTCATGCGTTATATCCAATCAATGCAAGAGTGTCAGTGGGGCTCTGGATTTGGGCTGGGGCACTATTAATGGGCTACTAACAGGGGTGAGGCAGTAATGCTCAACCAAAAACCAGGCAGACAGCCCATACTGAAGTACCTATTTTAAGGGGAAAAAACAGACCCATTTTCTTACTTGTTATTCTCTCCTTAAAGCACAATAAACTTGATGGCCTTTTCATTGCTAATTCCCTCTTCAACTCCAACTCCTTAGTATCTTTGACACAGCCTTCCCAGCTCTCTTCTCTTCTTCCCCAGCCCTTAAAGATCAGTGTTGTTCCAGGTGCTTTTTCTAGACCACTGCTCTGCTTAAACTATATGTCTAAGTGATCTCTTGCAGTTTTAACTCACCCACCTTTCCACAGGCATGCTCTCCCACACTTCACATCCATTGCCTAGTGAACATACTCACCTGGATGTCAAAAAGAATCTCAAAATTAACAATACTAGTTGATAGCCTCAAGCACCTAGTCCATCAAGCCAGAAACTTGAGTCACTTAGATTCCTCCTCTCTGACCCCGACATCCAATCACCAAGTCACTAAACTATGCCCTCCTCTGCATGCCTAGCACACCTGTCCTAGTCATCTCTGCTATACTGTTGTTAGCTATAGGAAAGCCTACCTTCTGTCAGTGCAATGCAAGGTGCTGAGCCCACTCCAGCCAACCTATCACCTGTACCTATCATACTTCACACTTGGAAGAGTTACTCACACAACCATGACCACAAGACCAGGTAGGAAGTCCAATCATATCATTAAGATTTTTTAAGGCTGCCAGGAACGCAAAACTAACATAATAGCCTCACATTTTTTTCCTACCAACCTCTATCCTAAAAATGTGCATTTCCTTCTACCCATTTATTATCCTAAGTTCACTAACCACTCTGGGCTGGATACTACTGATACAATTATGAATAAAACATAGTTGCTGTCCTTAAGGAGACAGAAAAGTAAACAAGCAATGACAGCAGAATGAAATACGTGTCTTAAGCATAGTGCAGGGTGCTGTGAGAGTCCACGGGAGCATGGGAGAAGACAGAGGGAAGAAGTGTGGATGAAGTGGGGAGAGAGGGCCACCAGCACCACACTCAGACTGGAGGGTGTAGGAACAGGTCAGAGATGCTCTGATTTTCCAAGTTAAGCCTTGAAGTCCTCAGAGGTTCAAAAGTAGATGATGCTTTGGGGAAACTCGGGTAGTTGAGAAATAAAGACAGTCTGAACTAGGGCGCTAGGAGTGGAGAGATGGCAAGTCAATGGAGTAATAAGAAAAACAAGATTCCAACCACTGACTAAAAAATGGAGGATGAGAGAGAGGAGTCAAGGATGGGTCCTTACATTATGGCTTCAGCAACTGTGTGAAGAGTGATACCTTCCAGTGAGGTATCACAAAGGTGGCTGAGCATATTTAGAGCAGGAGAGGCAGAGCTGTTCCGTTTAAGAGATGCTGGGCTTGAGAGCCTGCAAGACAGAAATATCCACAGGCATCTGATTCAGATCTCATCGAGAGAAACAAGAGGAAAGGAAGACACCAGTTCTCACAGAAACAATTCAATGAGGAAAAAGATTTTGGGATAGAGATTACAAGTCTTTTTTCAAGATTTTCCACAATGAACATGTAATACTTTTAAAATCAGAAAAAAATATACATAAAAGGAAGGAGCAGTCACTTTAGACTCTACAGCGAGGTAAAATAAAGAATCATGTCCAGTTGGTGCTAGTGACCCTTGGTGACTCTGCCGTGAGAAACTGCAATGGACGAGAAGGCACAGTGCCTGGTGGAGGGTAAGAAAGCGAGCACTCACTACAGCAACTCTCTCACTAGGCCTGGCTGTGAAGGAGAGTCTCCATACATACCTGTCACCTAACTCCTTTCCAGGAATATGATGAGATGTTAACAATAAGTCAATATAACTTGAGAAACTTTATTCCAGTGAACACCAAAATCCCACTTTCAATAATTCCAGTATTCCTTTTGGACTCTTGTGACTAATTTTGGCTCAAAGCTGGGAAAACTCTCACCTAAAGACAGTGTACAGTCCCAAAATGAAGCCATGGAAGATAACTGAACTGTGCTTGAAAAAAAATGTACCTGGATAAATCCCAAAGCCTTAAAGAGTCACACTAATAATTCTTGTCTGCAGAGAGGCAGACTTGACTGGTGAGCAATCAAACGGCAACGTGTGGCTAAGACAGGGGAAAGGATGGGTTTTCTCTTAGTGCTGACAGGAAGCCATAACATCAAAGGCAGATGCCTGTTTTCCTACTTGTTAGTCTTTGGCCTTGCCTATCAAAACAGGTTAGAAGATAAGGCATTTCTGTTTCTTCCTGCTTCAGTTAAGGGCAGGAATACTAATTCCAAAAAGGAGTC